TATTTATTCTTCTAATATTTGAATCTTTTTAAATTCATACAAAACCTTTAAATTTTATATAAATTTATTATCAATGTAGTTTTTACACCTTTTTTAGTTTTATCTCAGCTTTTCAAAGTAAAACTGCAGTTTAGAGTCAGAAAACCTGCAGAATTTGTGTTGAAATATTATGGGTGTAATGTGCCTGTCTGCCTATAGAGGGCAGTATTTCCTCACCAAACCAACCCACAGACCTGAACCAGACTAAACCCAGACTAAAGATGAGGTGCACATATTTAGCAGGACATGAAACAGACCAATGTTTTTAGTATTTTCAGTATTTGTATCTGATCAGCTGTAATCACAGTAAACCTGATAGGAAATAGTAAAATACGGAGTTTTATGAATTGTGTTAAATATAAAAAATAAAATGTTCTTCCTCTAGCTAATGTATGTACTTTTTAAAATATTTTTCCCCAGGGTAACCTACCAAAGTACTCCCACAATGCCCTGGTGGTGCAGGCGATGAAGACCAACCTGACGGACCCCGACATGCACGTGCTGTTCTTCGACGTGGAGGCGCTGATCATCCAGCTTCTGACGGAGGAGGCACAAAGACCTAACCCCATGCTGGTGTCCCCCGAGACCCTGCAGAAGAGCCAGGCAGGGGCCGACAAGGGGGGCTCCTTCCTGGCCAACAAAATCTTCAAACAGGTTTGTATCAATACGTATTACAGCCTGGTATGTACCTAGTACAAACCTGGTACTTTGTGGTATTTAGAGAACTTATAGGTTACCTACTTACCTGTGAGTACCTACAGAGTACCTATAGTTTATCTACAAAGTACTTACTTACCTACTAGTACCTACAGAGTACCTATAGTTTATCTACAAAGTACTTACTTACCTACTAGTACCTACAGAGTACCTATAGTTTATCTACAAAGTACCTACTTACTTTTGAGTATCTACAGAGTACCTATAGTTTATCTACAAAGTACCTACTTACCTGTGAGTATCTACAGAGTACCTATAGTTTATCTACAAAGTACTTACTTACCTACTAGTACCTACAGAGTACCTATAGTTTATCTACAAAGTACTTACTTACCTACTAGTACCTACAGAGTACCTATAGTTTATCTACAAAGTACCTACTTACTTTTGAGTACCTACAGAGTACCTATAGTTTATCTACAAAGTACCTATTTACCTGTGAGTACCTACAGAGTAACTATAGTTTATCTATAAAGTACCTACTTACCTGTGAGTACCTACAGAGTACCTATAGTTCCTACAGAGTACCTATACTTTATGTATAAAGTACTTACTTACCTACTAGTACCTACAGAGTACCTATAGTTTATCTACAAAGTACTTACTTACCTACTAGTACCTACAGAGTACCTATAGTTTATCTACAAAGTACCTACTTACTTTTGAGTACCTACAGAGTACCTATACTTTA